TGGAATGATGTGATGGAGGATCCCTTGTGCCTTCCCTGAGAGACAGGGATTTCAGAGAATCCAAGGTCCCATATCACAGGGCTCTCTGCAGTCAGTCATACACTCATTTGGAGAGCTGATGTCTAGCAGCATATCCCTGAGTGTGGAAGAGAGCTCAGAGAATCTGTGAACTTCTATAAGAAGATGCAAAACCTTTGTCTTGCTCTAGCAGTGTCTCCTCCATCATATGTGTCCCCATAGTAGATGATATTTACAGATGACAGATAAACCAGCCTGTTACCCTTGGCCCAGGCAGCCCCTCCAGAAGGGTAAGATCAAGGCTCTGCAAGTATGAAAAAAACAGTCTTATAAAGAAGTGGCTTTCCTGCCTGAAGTCTCCTTAGTTTGGATATAACCTCCATAGAAAAGATGAGGGGCTGGCTGGCCTTTACACAATAATTTGCATACATGTTTTTTAATTAACCACACTTCTTAACAGTTTTTAAAATATGTTTATGTAAAAAACACACTATTCCATTAGAGCTTTCCCACTTTACATGACATATGTACAAAAATGTGTAGCTAGTGGGTAAAATCCTATTCTGAGAGCAATAACAGCACACAAAGACATCCCTGTCAGAAGAGCACTGATTTACATACTGTGATCAGTGGATCTGCTCTGACAGATTACGGATTTTGTGTCTTTATTAACTGTGCATCACTTTCACATTCGGTTCCAGTTAGCTGATGACAGATAACTATTTTTTAAATTCAGATCTCAAGGCAAAGAAATGTCCATGTGGAAAAATAAGGACATCTAATATGTATTTATTATGTAAATAAATACTCAAGCGTCTTGAAAGTGTTGAAGTAAATGACACATCAACTCAAATTGGTGAAATCATGCTGAGTAGCTTTAAATAGAAATACTTTTGAAGTAAAAATACCACAAAGCATTAGACATTTCATAAAGTTGAGCTAAATTAGTATTAGAAAAATTATTACTCTTACATTTTTATTACATATTGAGCTGGATCTGTCTTTCTCTGAAGTCACCAGGAATATTAACATCAATTTAATCAACTTGAAGCAAGATTTAGCCTGGCAGAGTTATTTTACCATGAGTAAAGGAGAAAATTAAGTCTGAAACTCAGCCTCTCCAGCAAGGCTCTGAACTCAGATCCACAGAGATATTTAGATACCAATCTCCCACTGGACAAGAAATAGACAGGTAAATATATTTAAGAACCTCAAACTCATTATCTCTTATCCATGTTGAACACAAAAAGTATTCACTGTTTCCCTGAATAATAAGTAGGGCAATGTGGGAAAACAGCAATATAAAATCAGTATTATATAAAAGGGGCAGCTCACCCTCCACAATGGCAAAGGCTGGATTAATTTTCCAGCATTCATTATGAACCATGGGAACTCATGGCTACCAACTGGCAGCTGTGTGCAGCTCAGTGTTCAGCTTTGGACTTTATACACTACTTCTAACAACCATCTCCTCCAAAGCCCCTGTCTGGAATCACACTGCAGGGCAGAGCCAGCCAAGGTGCCACCAGCTGTAACACCTCGTTTAAACCACAGGTAGCATTCTGATCTGAGTTGCACCAAAGTTAATCAGAGACACAGAGATGATAATAGATCAGAATCTAGCTCACTGTCGGTGTAAAGACTCCAGTCACACACTGGAGTGTCTCGAATTTCTAAAACAGGTTACTCTTTGTGTCGTTTTTCTGGGGTCTCGGTGGAAGACTGGGGTATTGCCAGGAGAGTTTTCAATTACCAGCCTCTATTTTGAGTGTGTGCTATACAGATCTGTGCATGCCAGGGTAATGCAGAAATATTATTTGTATTTTTTTCCCCTGAAGAATAGAATAGCTGAATGAGGGGAACTTGTTTTTTCCTCTCTATTTTTATCCCGCTTTTAAAGATGATGCTGTGACAAAAAAAGTGAATTGTCTCTTATATTCACCTTGTGCCTGCTTTGATTGCCAGTATAACTTGTTTAATTGTCATGGCATAACACGGTTTTTTACCATTTGTATATTTTCCAAGTTTTCCATTATTTACAATTTTTTTAAAGACGTAATCTGAAAGATAATCTTATCTCAAAGGAGTTTTGTCATATATGGTGTTTATGGGGCTACCGGATGATTCTGTTCTCACAGAAGTTCCTTGCCCACATTATTGCCTCCCACAGAAAAACACCCACAGAATGAACCATGGGAGGGAATTTTCCTAGAGATCCTCAAATATTATCCCAAATGGATTGCAAGGTTCCAGCTCAGTTGCTACACAATAGAGCTCGCAGTGTGTCCAAACCCTGCAGATTTCAAGAACACTGAGCATTAGAAACTTGTTAAAAGGCCACAACAAACTAATGCTCTCTATCATGCCAGTAGAACTTTGCGGATGTTGCCATTTTCATATCTAAAAATCTTAGAGAATGAACTATAAATTAACATAAGTACCTCAGATGAAGTCCTATTTCCTAAAGTCTTCAGAGAGAGATGAAAACCTCATTGTGGCTCTCCTGCAAATATTTTGCAAGATTTCAGTGTTTGTGACATGACCTGAATTCCAGAACTGAGGATGATTCTGTTATTGGCAAATCTCACAGATTCAGCCTCTGATAATGTCAGAGACACTGCTGAAGAGTGGGTGCTTTAAGAGATGATGAAATGAAAAAACCCAAAACAACTGCAAATAAAGTCCAGTCTTCCACATGAACAGTCAGTTCCTGCTCTCAAGATGCCTGCACAGCTTCAGAACACACATCATCCTCAGCGAAATATCTGAGTGTTTCAGTCACACTGATGCAGAAAAAGTTTCTGCATCCAAATCACATTTTAGGTTGCTAGAATCCAGCTGCAACATAGTTTTGTTAGGATATTTAAAGCACAATGGTGCAGAATACAGATGAGATGCTGTGCTAAAGAATAGCTTTATCAGTTTCAGCAAAATACATCCAGAAGACAGCAAAGCAGAGAAGCACCATTATTTTAAAGCAAAACAAAAATATCTTATACAGACTCTGCCAATTTGTGGAGTTTCTGGGATTGTATTTTAATGTAATCTATTCACTATAACTACTATGGGTAAGAAGTTGCCACTGATAAATGACACAATAATCCTACTACCACTTGGAGGAAGCACAGAGTAGTCAGAGCTCCCAGTGAAATACGTATGGCAGTGTGGCATCTGTGCCAGCAATGGGTAAGGTAAAATCATTAAAAAGCATGGTTTCACCAGAAGCACAGACAAAGACCAAGAATTTAGAAGTCTTGCATAAAAAGGAATCTTCTAACCTGCTTATTTAGCTTTTTGATTTTTACCTATTCCAGTCATCCTTGCTGATTTGTCCTTGAAAAATATAAAAAAGGTTTTATTTTGAATGTAATTTTCACGAAATAATCCACAAAAAGCAAGTAGCTGTGAATGAGCATGTAGACGATTACATGCATTTGGGAATTCTTTAGTGGTACTAAGCATCCTCAGTAAATACACTTGGAAAAAGGATATTAAAAAAATTCTTACATTAGAGGTCCAACAGCCTTCAATGAGATGTTTGTTTCCCCCAGGTGGTACTATAAAAATATATAATGTATTAATCAGTCAAAGATGCAGAATGTGTATAGTTAAGTCTTACATCTTGTACTATGGTTTTTTATTGATAACTAATAAACCTCTCCCCACGTTTAATTTATTCACTTTTTTTTTTTTTTAATGTAAAAAGCGAGAGACACACAGGAAAGCTGAAAGGAGACATGCTGGCAAAACAAGAATTACAAAAAGATGCTGAGGATGGGATTCATTTACCTGCATATAAGCTTTTAATGCCATCTTAGACAGTCTAGGCACTATGTCAGGATCATCTCTTTGTTGCCAGCTGCCACTCCAGAATGGCACTACTCCTCTGTAAGCCCTATGCCACATCTGCCAGCCCAGTGTGGCTGTCTCAGATATCCCAGGGCACTGAAAATAGCAATGGTTGCTTATATTTACGTAATTAATCCCACCCTGACCATTTATGCTCAGTGACCTGCAAGCTCTGTCCGAGGTAACCCCAGAGAAGGATGCACCGAGGAGGGAAGGGTGGAGACACCAAAGGCAATCCCTCTGGGCCCGAAACAGCACAGCTGACCCAAACTGGCGTGTCCTCACAGGATCCCCTGTGTTACAGGAGTTTATCAACTGGTTCTTCTGGGTCTTTGTCAACTCAAGGATCGTGCACCACGTTATGTTACATATTGTAGACACTGCAGAGTTAAGAGAAACAGGAAAATTTTGGCTTCCCCTTCGCATTTTGTCCATACGATGAGGGAACAGCCCTCACATACAGGTTGCTGGCAAGACCAAGGAAGATATATATATATATTTGTAGCCAGGAAATCTGTCCCAGTAAAATGGAGTCTAATCACTAATCAGTTGTCTTTGCTTCTTGACTACTTTGCTTTTTTTTTCTCTCTTTTTAAATCTCACCTTCCGTCATTCTCTTGTAACTGCTAACTGAACAGAGCATGATTTCCTTTTCTACTTTCCTTTCATAGTCACTTAGGATCTTGTGTCTTTGAAAGGTGCTGCCCATCAGAGATTGCAATCTGCCTCATACAGTTCTCATTTATGCTTAAATCTTCTTTTATCCTTCAAAGGCTGGCTGAAAGAAGTGTCAGGTCATTATTTCAGGCTGTAGCTCAATACTTAGGCTTAACAGCTTATGATCTCTCTCTTCACTAAAGACCTTCATTCACTGAAGGTCGAGGTATTAGGGTGCTATTTTTAAATATATTCCCAGCAGTGAAGAGTTAAAAATAGTGTTCTACGAAAATGCACAGTAATTGGTTAAACCTTGTTAGCCATCACATGAAGATGTAACTCCTCCCAGGAAAAGACACAGCCAAAGCAGCTTTGACATGGATTTATACTTAGAAGAGCAGCTGCAGGCCTACAGGGAAGGAGTTCACAACATAGGCTCTTGGATTATGAGCAGAAAAAAACAACTTCATTCTGGAAAGGAAGGGAATGAGACATGCAAAAAAATTTTCCTCACCGTGAACTACAGGTGAATTCTGTGGATTCTGTACTTTGGAACAACCACCATTAGACAGAGATCTTAAGAAGATGGAGCTGGGAAAGGCAAAGCTGCTGAGAACTGGCCTCAATGCTTTATATCAGGCCATCCATCCCATGCATGGAATCGCTTGGACAGATGGGAAACAAGTGATACTGACTGCTTTATACTACCAAAACGGAGAGCTGAAGTTTGGAGACTCAAGTGTTCTTGGTCAATTTGACCACGTTCATGGGCTTTACTGGGGCCCATGTTGCTCTACAGACGTCCCAGCTCTGCTTGCCGTTCAGCACAAAAAGCACGTAAGCGTTTGGCAGCTGGGCTACAGCACTGCAGAGAGGAAAAAGCCCTTGATTTCTCAGACCTGTGAAGTTGGAGAGCCATTCCCACTGCTCTCTCAGGGCTGCGTCTGGCATCCAAAGAAGGAGGTCTTGGCTGTGCTTACAAAACGGGATGCTTCAGTCCTGCATGCTGTTCGTACTGACAACACACGGGTTAAGGCAGATATCAAGAGCAGTGGGCTCATCCACTGTGCTTGCTGGACAAAGGATGGTAATCGTTTAGTAGTTGCTATAGGCAGTGCCCTGCACTCCTACATATGGGATCATGCTCAGAAAACTCTAAATATCTGCTCCTTTTGCCCAGTCTTTGAAGTGGGAGGTTATATTTGTGCTATAGAAGCCACACTGGATTTCCAAATTGCTGTAGCTACTGAGCTTCCTTTAGATAATATCTGTGGTTTCAATGCAGGCATTGCATTTGATGTGCCGTCTGGTACGGAAGCTGGTTCTTTAATCTCACACCCTGCTCTGGTGCTCGGTGATGAGGAATACTCACTGGACACGAGAAGAAAGTCCATAGATTCAGATAGATCAGGTGGTGATTCGGTTGCTTCTTCTTCGTCAGGTCCCATGGATTTAACCCATATCCTTGCCAACCACCGTCGGTCTGATCCCAGTCCTCTCGTTACTCTGAAACGCAAAGACTCTGCAGCAACAAATGGTCAGGATTCTTCTCACTTGATCTTGGTGACTTTTGAGAGGAAAGTAACCACCACCAGAAAAGTCACCATCCCAGGTATTCTGGTTCCTGATATAATGGCTTTTGACCTTAGAGCTCAGATTGTGGCCGTAGCCTCTAATACTTCTAACATTGTTCTGGTGTATTCAGTAACCTCTTCCTGCATGCCTCACATTCAACAAATCCAGCTGGAAAAAAATGAAAGACCAAAAGGTCTATGCTTTTTAACAGATAAACTCTTACTGATTCTGATTGGTAAGCAGAAATTCCCTGATCCTAATCTCATTCCATCTACAAGTTCAGACAGGTATGTAATACGTCTTATGATCAAAGAATTGATGCTGGAAGACAATTCTTCAGCGATGCCTGAGGTTAAGCAGAATACGTTTCATAACTTTGAATCCTCTGTTAATATACCTGGAAAAAGAAAGTTCTTTGAAAGTCTTGCTACAGAAGACCAAGGTCAAAGCAGGGAACTGTTAATACCAAGAAGCACAGTTATTCAATCACCAAGTGGTCGGAGAAGACTCATCGAAGAAGTAAAGAGCCCTAGTTATGAGCAGAGCTCTTCATCAAGTGTGAGTGATCTGGATGAAAAAAGGCTCCCAGGTGACTCCTCAGTGGCCTTGGAAACTTTGGATGCTGAACCTATAAATCGCTCAGTGTCTCTTCGTGGGTTTGGATCACCTACCAGGATTTCCAGCAGACCAACGTCCCCTAAAGTGCAGTTCAATGTGATCCAAGAAACACCAAGTTCTCCTAAAAACAACAATTTGCCAAGTGAAAGAGGAGTGGGTCACATATCTAGAAATTTAGAGAGACTTTGTGGCAGCTTCAATGAGTTACAAGTGAGTCTTTCTGAAATAACAGACTTTGCCAGAAACGGGAGGAGGATATCGTTGGCCTATCCATGCTCACAGGAACCACCCGTCGTTCATATCACTTACCAGGTAACATTTTATCAGCTTAAAAATATTGCGATAGGACACTAAACTTTTAAACAATCTTGCATGTATTTAGGTTTAAATTGAGAGGATGCACCTCAAGTCTTACCAACCCATGAGAAATGCACCCTAGGTTTGGCATCAAGCTTAATCTAAAGTGGAATTACAGTTTGTCATTGGAACAATAACTCAGGATGATGTGGGTAGCTTAGAGGATACTTCACATGGGAGTTTTATCTGTTTGTTCTTTGTCTATGTGCCACTGTCTTGAACACTGGCTGATTTTGTGTGCATTTGTCAAAGAGAGAGAACAGAGCCAAAGAGCTGTTAACATACAAAAGGTTTATGTTAGTTTAGTGCAGAGCTGAGCCAATGAGTAGGGTGGTAGTAGCCCACCAGAAACATAATAAATTCAAACTCAAGTTCAAGTCCAAAGTCTGAAGATAGCCAGACTCAGAGAAAGACTGAAACAAAGCACTGAATTGCAATTTATGGAAAATTCAAATGGGTATGACATGAATTTGGCTTATTCCTACTTTGATTTCTCACCACTAATCTTCACAGAGCTGGATGTTCTCAATTTGTAAAACATATTGCCACTTAAAATTTTCTGGGAAAAAAACCACAACCAAACAAACAAAAAACCCAATCCATCAATATGTAATTATCATTTCATTAAACAAATAGAAGAATGTCAAACCATCATGCTCCTATCTACCCTTGTTTTGGCAAATTTCCTACTGGCTTCAATAAGAATTTGAGCTAAGGAATGTAGGTTGGGTAATTATTTCTGGCTATTCTTAGTATTATCTGCAGTAATACTAACATTATCCTGATCAAATTTTTGAACATGCTGGTGATAGTGGTATTGCTGCTAAAACTGGGGTCCCTTTCAGGATGTAGATGCCAACTATAAATGCATTCTTATCTACTGCAACGTAAGCAGCATTGTGTCAAAACAATACATTACACTGTGATGATGCTGAAGTATGTACTTCTCAAACAAATTTGACTTCCTTTTACTTTACAGAATTCCATCAAGACATCTAAGTACCCCTCCTTAAACACTCATTAAGGGAATGGTGACTCAATTCAATCATGTTAGTTAGTTTTTAGCAATCATTTACTTGGCATTTAAGCAGATTCTAGTATGCTGTCTCCACTGGATAAAAGCAAAGTCTTCGATCTGAATTAGTCAATAATTTAACTTGAATACATTATACAAATTCTGGTGAAAAAAACAACATATTTATTTTAAATAATTTAGGATTTTATTGGCCAAGAAGTAAGCCCTTCTGTTCTTCAGCATGTTCGAATTAATTCTGATTTCTTAACATAAATCAACTTATTTATTTAGCAAGCAGCCTTGTCTCTAGGATTCAATTGGATTAACCTTTCCAAAGAGAAGTTTTATTTGTGATACATAGCATTAATCTAAGATCTGAAGTCGCTGTGCATGTTTGCTTGCACAAGTAGTAAGAATTAATTAACCTGGTTTTTCCTTTGGAAGCAAAGAAAAAGAAGTGCTTCTAAAATACTGCTAGACAAAAGGAAGACTTATTTATCTGAACAAGTTAGTTTCACATTGAGCCAGCAGCAAGAACTGCTAGCACCACGTTATAATGACTCAGAAAATGTGCCACTGAAATGCCTTTCCACGCACAGCTTTCCTGGGGAAGTCTCAACTAATGCCTTGCATAGTTCAGCCCCTGTTCTGAAATCTAACAGGATCACAGCATGGTGCCAAAAAATAATGAAAAATAGAACTTGGCAAAAAGGTCTCCAGACAGACAGGGAAATATTTGCTTCATGGGCAGCTAATAATTTTCAGAGAAAATATCTGTTTTGATTAGTTTAGGTTCAGACATCTGAACCTTGTTCCTCCTTCAGGAGTTGATTAGCGCACTGTGAGCTCAGAGACCAGCTGGGCTGTGGGTTCCAGCCAGACTTTGTGTTCACAGTGCAAAAAGTCAGGAAATAGCTTTATTGCCGTATGATATAAATATCAGCCAGTGGAAAACATTCTAAGCTTTAGCAACACTGCAGTCCAGTCAATAATATGGCCATTATCTTTCAGCTCTTTGTGCCAAGTGCATGTCTTCTTAAGTGTCTGTATAATCCCCAGCACAGCAGAGGCTCAATCCTGATTGAGAAACCTATTGTTCTATAAAATATAATGATCAGTACTGCGTAACTATATTTGTACATTAAAAACATAAAAGGAAAGTTTAAAACACAATAGATAAAAATGTAGCAATAATTAATGAGCAATTATGAACACCGCTGTGCAGAAGCATTATCGACATATTTATGTGTGTTTTCAGGTCTGCTTGGAACACAATAAACAAAAACATTTTTGCTTAATAATTCATAATATCTGCTCACTAAATAGTCTTCAAAACCTTTGTTTATCCTGTTAGTGCAAGCCTGACTATAACTCCTCTGAAGTCACGTCCATGCAGTGCTACCAGAATTTATATTCCTTGTAGCCCACAGCCATAGAAGAAAATCACGATCACTCACACTTTGGAAATGTCACTGCACTATCACTTGTGTAATAGCATTCAGCCACCGGAGGTAACTTGATCATTCAACCCTGAAAAGCAAATATTATTGCTCTTTCATCACATACAGACTTGTGATTCAGGGTAGTGTGGGAGGCTAGACAGACAAATGCAATAAGAGGATATTATTTAAAAATTAAAAAAAAAAAAAAAAAAAAAAAAAAAAAAAAAAAAAAAAAAAAAAAAAAAAAAAAAAAAAAAAAAAAAAAGAATCTGTCACAGATTTGTTTCTGTTTCATTTTACAAAAAGATACTTTTATCATCCTTTTCTTCCAGAAAAGGAACAGCTGCAGAATATTTAAACTGGTCTCATTCAAAAGCTAATTACAGTGGAAATAAAGCCAATCTGGATTTGAAATTACAGGCATTTAGGCAAACCTCTCCAGGAGGAATAAGATTCATCTTAATATCTTAAAACTCTACATTTTGCTCACAAGCAGTACTATGTCAAAAGTGTATATCACTGAGAGCATATATTGCATAATTAAACAGGAAATAAATATTTTTCAGCAATCAGTCACAATGACTTTCTTTTCTTAGGACTCATAATAATTGCACACAAGTCAATTTTTATTTTTATAGTATCTTCGTACAATTTACTATGGGCAACTTTATTGCCAAGGCCAGCTATAAAATAAACAATTTTTTTTTACACAGAGCTGGGAGATGAATAGAGAGGATTCAAACATATGGCAGTAAAATTCTTCTGATAGAAATACGTGACGTAAAGAAGGGGGCTGGAAGAGGGGGGCACAGTAAAATGAGCAAAGACCAGGCTGCAATGATAAGCTGTAATAAGACCAAGAACCTTTCTTAAAATCCAAAGGGCAATTTTGACTCTTGAGCAATAGAAAGTAAGTCATGAAAATGATGGAAGAGGGAGGTGATGTGACTGCTCCCTGGAGTAAGAAACTAGTCAGCTATCCTGAAATTTCAAAGGAAGAGATTTAGGATGACTGTAAAAGAAAGACCTGCAGCAGTCAAGAGAAGGTGTGATTAATGCATGGATAACATTTTGAGCAAAGGTTGAGGAATTTGTTATGAACAAATTCTGTCAACAATGTTCTGAAACTGATCAATAGCAGACAAGCAGAGGAGACACAAAACCTTTCATTCGAGCAAATGATTTGTTTGTTGGATACACAGATACAAAAGAAAAGGAACATGCAATGTCAAAAATGAAGCCAAGTTTTAATACTGTGCGAAGAAAGTAAAGATCTGACTTAAAAAACCCAAACCACTCAAAATATAAAGATGATGGAAGCACAAGCACAAAGGTATATCTCAGATGACAGTACACCTGAAAACAGTAGTTGCAGAACTATTAACAGGGAGCCACGAGTAGAGAAATCCCAGCACCATATCACCTGCAATGCTGATGTGCTATAAACGCAAACTGCTCTGGGATTTAAGCACCTCTGAGCTCCTGAGATCTCTTCCAGTGTAAACATTTTACAGGCTTATGCTTCTCTGCCAGGTTAATTAAGGTTGCAATCGGAATGTCCCACATAAGGGCAAGAAAAGGTATTAAGATCTCCACGACAATAAAACCAGGATGCACTAAAAATCAAGCAGGAATCAGAGCAACAGTAGAAATCATGACAGAAAAAGGGAGCAGTGCAGGGTGAACACCTAATTGTCACTACCTGTGGCAATGATGCACGAGGCTCAGTGAGACACAGAATGTAAAAAATCATTGTTCTCATTCCTCTTCAGTGTTCTTCCTTATCTATTTAAGTCCCTGTTCATTGTTTTCTGGGCCAGAACACCCACACGTAGCTAATTTACCAGTTTTTTTCTCATCCTGCACAATGAATGCGGGGGCAAGGTAAAAGCAAGCTGAGTAATGGGTACTAAGGAATCAAACCTGAAATAACCATTGGAGCACAACACAGAGAGCTGAAATCAAGGCTTTAAGAGAATGAAAACAGTTCTAGGTAACTACAGCACTACTCATCATACAATGCAGGCAATGTGACAGACTAACCTGATATCTTTCCCTTATATAAGAACTGAATTTTAACACCAAGGAGATGAAGAATATTTAAAATACCTGTAATTCAGTACAGTACTTGAAATTATGCTACAGGGGAAATTATTTGTTCAACAGCAGAGTATAGTGATTAATAGAAGAAAAATAAGGTTATTGTGGTTAAGGAATCAGCTGGAAGGAAGGTAGTAAATGATTACAGTAATATAGAAGAAAATGGGAAAAATTTACTAGTGGATTTTCTCATGATTTATCTTCAGGCTTATCATAAATTTTCATTAATGCTCTGCTGAGTTATGCTAATAAAATATGCATATGACATTAAATCAGTAGTATTTTCAATAGAGAATAAGGATATCACACCTGTAAATTGATGACCTTAGTATCTAGAATAAAAAGAAAAGGATTGAATCGAACTAAATGAACTAGTACGAAATGCACAGTGATATATTCCAGGATTAACAGATGAAATTTCTGCTTTAAACTGGGTATTCACTAGTTAGAAACAACTAAGGATGACAAGAGCTTGTACGTGTTAAGTGACTACAAGATGATTATGAATCAAAAATACGATACTTTTATGAAAAGAACGAAGGCAGTGTGTGGTTACATCAGTGAAGCACATCACTCAGCAGGTAATGCAGCAGTGGGCACACAGATGGGAGGCCTCATCTGGAAAACAACTTACATTCCTAGA